CTTCCTCTCTCTGAAATCAATAAAGACATATTAAAAAACAAACCAACCCCATGATGGGTTTCCTCTCATAAAGTGGGCATTCAGAGTCAAGAGTGGACGCTGCTACCCAAAATGAACTTGGGAACCTGAGAGGACAGGCTGTCCCGCCACAGACACGTTCCTAAGCAGCGTCCTTCGGGTCTCCTGGGGCTGGAATCGAGAGGCAGGGAAGAGCCCAGCTGGGGCGCAGGGTCCCCTCACCTTACCCGGTGTGACAAGGCGGGCGGGGCGACCGCGCCTCCAGGGCTCCCCGCGTTCTTCCTGCAGAGACGGGAGCGCGCCCCCTCGGAAGCGGACCCCAGGCCTCGTGGAAGGCTGCAGAGGAACTCACCTCCCCACGCAGCGTACGCGCTCGTGTTTGCTGTAGGTGTACATTGTAAATGCCACTTAAGAGGCTGTGTTTTGCAAGCCACCGAGGGGAAGGACATTTAAAAGCGTTTGCTGGCAGCTGTGCCCGCGCCAAGGGCGCCTCCACACCCGGTAGAGGGGGGCGCCCAGAGCTGGGCTGCTAGGGAGACAGGGCACCCCCAACTGCAGCCCCCGGAACGGCCGCCAGCCGGCCTGTTGGGGTGGAGAAGGGGTCAGTTCCCTGGCAGCTAGTTCCGTCTGCAGCTTAAAAACTCACCAAGAGGGAGCAACTGCTGGGCGAGGCTGACCCTGCAGCCGCGGACTGAACGCGGGAGACCCCGAGGCTCGGGAGCCGCCCCGTCGGGAGGCGGGTGGAGAAGCGGCTGCACATTGTTACCCTTCTGTTTACTCCCGGCTCGTCAGAGCGGGGCCCTGTGATTGGCTGGCGCTGCACAGCTCCCATTGGTTGGCGTGCGGGAGCCCCGGCCCTATTGGCTGAAGTAGGGTTCCAGGAACTGCCTTATAAGGGCCGCTCAGAGGCCGCCGGGGCGGGAGCAGGCAGGTGCCGCGGGCTCCTCCCCGCGTGCAGCCCGTGGACGGGCCCCCGTGTGGGAGGGGCTGCGAGGCTCTGCTTTTTAAAGTTTGAGCCCAGGCAGCTATCAGGAGCCCTTCTTAGCAGCTGTCTTCTGTAGGGTTCACATAGTTTTAATTTTTTTCTGATTTTTAGTGAGATAGAACATTTTTCCATGTAATTACTGACACATATATGACTAGCTTGGTCATATCCTTTTACTTTTTTAAAAAAATGTTTTTATTGATTTTTTTAATGACTTTTATTTTTAAGTATGTCTTTATTTTCAGAGGGAGGGAAGGAGCGGGAGCGAGACAGAAACATCAGTGAGGAGAGTCATTGGTCGGCTGCCTCCCACTGGGGATGGAGCCTGAAACCCACGAGCGCCTTGACCAGGAATCCACCTCTCCTGGCTCAGAGGTGGGCGCTCACCTGCTGAGCCACGCTGGGCCGCTGTTTCTATTGATCGTTAGAGAGAGGAAGGGAGAGAAAGCAGAGATAGAAGCGTGGATTGGCTACCTCCTGCACACCCTTCCTGGGGATCCAGCCCGAAACCCAAGCCTGTGCCAAGGCAGGTGGGCGCATGGGACAGCGCTCAAACCCCTGGGCAACACTGGCTGGACCATATCCTTTTACTTTTTAAAGAGTTGGTTATCTTTTCCTGAGTGATTTGTAAGAGCTCTTTATATATGTGTTATGCAAATCAAACACTAGATGTAAGGAATAGTAACCGAATATATGTAATTAAATATTAAATTGCCAAACATGTTAAAACCATTTCTCTAGCTCACCACTTGTTTTTCAACTTTGTCTTTTGCCAAACGAAAAGCACAATTTGTGTGCACACTCGAGTTACCAGTATTTCCTTTGTGTCTTGAATGGCCGTCTCGCTTAGAAATACAAGTAGGTCTTGTACTAACCGAAGGTCCCGACGGGCCCGGGTTTGTGCCG